GGGTATGACTGAACCATTGTGCCTCCCTGGATCTGCACCACCATCAAATTATGTTAATATTTTAACCCATTACTGAGAAATTCCATTAGCAAATTTTGCCCCAGCACTGTAAATTAGCAGTACAGGGCACAGTTAAACCTGCAATATGTGTGGTTTGTGGCATTTGCCACACCACAAACCTCATGTGCCTGCACATCTGCATGTGGCCTATGTGTTTATTTTTGTGTCTCTATTACACAAGAAAACTGAACCAAATCTCTTGAGGAGAATGGTCTATCCAGGTTAACACCAGACATTCAACACTGCAATCTTCAATAATTTTTTATCATAAAATGATAACTGTATAGAAAACTAGAGCTACTTAAGGAAGTTTGGGATAAACAAATAGTTTTTGTTGTTGCATTTGGAATTTTGTCTCTTTTTTTCCCTTCCATCCTCATTTTAGTTACTTCCACTTTCCTTTTTCTGTTTCCAGTGGCAAAATGGAACTAGGAGAAAACATTGATACATGCAATAAGTATATTTCTTTAGTTGAATCAATTTATATGGAATGTTTTCTCATTTGCTATCATATGAGTTACTTATAATCAGGGATCCTGGTTTTCCCTGATAAAAAAAGAAAAATCACAAATTCTCTGATAACCCCCACAAATCCACAATTAAAATGAAATGCCACTATATATACATACGTATCAATTGAACACAATGCTTTATCAATATATTTACAATTTTAAATCAATTTGGAAGCCTACCAGTGCCTCATTCACTATAGTAAAATAAATTCTAAGTACCTATAAATTTTGTTATCTGATTTGGAGTTTTTTATCATGAAAAATCACAGCTTCCCCTGCCCCCTTAGCTCACTAGAACTTGGGTCCAGGCCCTTCACTCCCAGGGCTATGGGGCCAGGGACTTGGGTCCACAGTCTCCTGCCCCCGCAGCAGCACACAAGCCCCAGCTGCCACCCATGGGACGCTGCTGCTGCCCAAGTGGGGAGCCCAGCTCCCCCACCCCTATGGGTGGCATGGCTGGAGCAGGACCTGTACGGGGAGCAGGTGGAAGCTGTCCACTGAGGGCTCAAGCAGAAGGGGGCCAGCTCTCTGCTGCTGCGTGCATTCCCAAGGGGGAGGGGGACCAGTGCACCCCAGATCTGTGTGCAGGATGGGGACAGGGGTGGGATACCCACTCTTGGCATGGGCTCCCCACCCTGCTGCCCTCACCTGGGGTCTCTGCGGCCAGGCAGGTGGGACCCAGCAGGAAAGCTCCTTGCTGCTGCAAGTCCCGCATTGCTCTGGTGAAGTGCTCCCTGCCTGCCTTGCAGCTGTGAGGGACACAACTCTGCACCCCCGCCTCCCCCCACACCTGCCCGCCTGCTGTTGGTAATGATCACCTTTGGACTGGTAATTAGCACCATTCCCTCCCTCTCGGTCTGAGTACCCACCTCAGGGAAAAGACTGAGGGCCTGACTATGACTCCAGCTCAGTGAGCCTCTGAAGGACCTTCACTGCCCCTGGCAGGTCTGTTTAGGGTGTATGGTGGTTAACCATTGTATATAGTTCATGCTTGATGTTATGTACGTTTCCTACTGTTAATCTTGGATTTTTGTGATTGTGAGTTTATAATATACTTTTGAACTTTATTGGAGCCTTGATGTATTTATAGGGTATATGAGAACAGGCTGTAGCTCTATGTATATCTCTGACCCCAAAATCTACCCCTAAAAGAGATAACACACGAAAAGCCCTGGCTGTCTGAGGAGGCCTAACAGGTCTCCGCCGCTTAGATTTCTTATAGGTGGTCAGTGTCCAGGATACCCAGCAGTGTCCACCTTTCACACCCCATGCACAAATCTGGGGGTCATGTGCCCCCTCTGCCCCTGGGAGTGCATGCAGTGGTGGGACCTGGCTCCATCCCCCCCCCCATGAGATGCCTGCAGCCCCATAGCATTCAGCCCCATACCACTCCCTGATGGGGCGCTATGGCCATGCATTGCAGCCCTGGGCTTCAAGCCACATGCACTGCTTGGCTGGGCAGCAGCCCCAGCCCTGCCCTGCCCTGCCCAACTCCCTCCCTCCTTTCCTCCCTATGGGGGCCTCACTCCCCCACAACCCACCAGACTTATCCGTGGGAGCTGCTTTCCAGGCTGCCTGGTAGCCATGTGCAAGTGTATGAACTTGGCACCCCTTACCTGACTGCCCTCCCCCCACTGTGGAGTGGGGGGAGGGCAGTTTGCTAGCTGGAATGCCAGCCCCTTGCTAGCTGGAACTCTGCCAGCCCACAGAGAGCATTTTGCAAAAGAGAAAAATCCATGTGTTTCTCTGTTAAAATGAAAAATCAATGTTTTTCTTGTGTAAAAGAGAAAATCCATGTTTTTTTTTTTTCCTGTGGGAAATGGAAAACCCAGATCCCTGTTTATTACATATGCTACAAAAGGAATGCAATCAAGGAGGTGTAATTATGGAGAAGTAGTATTTGTTTACAAGTTAAGGTTGAAAATAGATCTCTTATATTTTTCACCCTAAAATTCTCCAAAGAGAAGCTATTTTGCAATTCTAAGTTTATATCATGAAATGCTGGCCCCACTATAATAAGCATTTTGGTATTATTTCAGCACAGAACAGATGTTATTGCAATGCCTTTTGAAAATGAGACAGCAACTGATATTTTGAAAAACTCGGCAATATTTTTAGCTCAATATATGTTTCTAAATGGCTTGATTTGGGTTGATCTGTTAACCCACTGGAGAATTTTTATTATTCTGGAAGCAAGTTTTGTTTTACTTTGTTAATAGCCATACTTTTACAACAGTTACAAACTGCTGAATCTTTCCTCGGTGCTAGTTCAGCATTGCAAACTAGTAAGGTGGTGTGGAGAAATCCAGTATCTATCCATTGACAACTACCCTGTTTGGATACAGCAAGTTCAGAGGTGTAAAGTGTACCTGGGGAGGTCCCTGGGCAGGTGAACAAACCAACAGTCTAGCAGTAAAACACATTAGTACACAATTAAAACTGATTACCAGAGAACAAAGGAACTATGGCTTATTCTTGTGTATCTTGGCATTTATTATATTTTAAAATATGTCTTTATAGTTAAAAAATAGCATATCTTTCAGTTTACTTTTCATGGAAGGTGTGCAAATAGCATGCCGATGGCTGCCTAAAGAGAAGTCTCTTAAGAAAAATATCATTTGCTCTTCATTCCTCCAGCAAGATATATTATTTCAGAATAAACCAAAGTGGAAACATGGTGATGGGTTGGTGAGATTTAGTGTTCATGGGATGATAGAAAATGAAGAAGGGATATATAGAATAAGAAATGTGGCTGCATATTCCATCTGTTCATTACCAGAATGTCATAGTTTTTATAAATTTTTCATTTAGAAAGTGGTAGAATTATAATGTGGAAAACGCATCACATTTTCTAGGAGTTCAGATTTCACTGATGTACATTTTAAATCTTAATTATTTCCTAATGAAGTTTTGTGTTTACAGCCATATATAATACTACCCTCTGGTGGTTGACTGAGTAGAACTACATATTTCCTAGTAGGTTTGAAAATTATAGTCAAAGATACTAAGCTTAAATCCTGCTGATTCCACTTGATATTATGTCTAGGATCCATACTGAGATGTCTGTTCCAGCTATGCTGAAGAGTATTTTAGGGACTTTTGTTTGGTTTAGTTGCAGCATCATATTTAAATTAATTGAAATATCAATATATCAATTATGGTAAAAGTTGATTTTATATTCCAGTAGATAGATAGATAGATGGATGGATAGATAGATAGGAAACCTATCTTTTGAAAAGAAAGTTGGGAAGCCATAATGACCATAGTCCTCTTAACTCTGCTATTTTAAATCTCTAGTCTGTTGGATTTGAAAACTTTATTTATTCCTAAAGATACTGATCTTAAGACTTTTTTTTCCACTTCCAAACCATTTTGAGTTGTTTTCAGTTATCTTCCTTTGCTGATCAAAGGGAATCAGAAAATGCCTAAATTAGCACATTTCCTGTTATTGAATTTCTTTGCTGAGCACACTGAAATAGTTAAATAACCTCACTGCTAGCAGCCAAACTACTGCAAGCTGCTCTGCTGGACTGAAAATGCTTAGGGAGCATAATGAATCAGGACTTGTGATAGAGGTGATATTTTTTATTAGACCAACTAGATTTTTGCAAAAAAAAGTTTTTATTTGCAAGCTTTCAGGCACAAGCACCCTTCTTTAGGCGTAGGAGAAAAGATTGTAAAAGTTCTCCTAAGTAGAAATGAAAGATCATATTTCATAGGAAAGCTGAAAGCATTTATTGGGAGCATAATGGTGTTTTTCCATATAGTTTAATAACAATAATAAAAATGATTAATAATCTAATTCCTGTGTCTTCATAGGATATTAAACAGAAGTCACGATACCTGTTACATAGCACTTCCTATCTACATAAACCAACAGGCTTCATCTAAGAGGCTAAATGCTTTAACTCCGTTTCATAGATGGAGATGGTGAGATACAGAAAATGAACTGATGACCTCAGCCCTAGAGTACGCAACAGGTCAGTGGAAGAACCTAGAAAAGACCCCAATGTTGAAATCAGGGCTTTTATTGAAGTCGATAGGCCCTATGTCATTGACATTAAAGGAACCAGGAATTTGTTCCTAGGTCTCTGTCCCATTCTAGTACTCTTTCTCTTACCTAAACATAGTGTGTGAAAAATCAGCCATTGAAGTAACTTGTCCAACTATATATCTATTAAAAAAAGAAAGAAAATTGAAGGCGAAATTCTGCCTTCAGCTGTGCATATGCAGCTTTGTTTATTGTAGTGGGTTTATGCAACATGAAGGTAAAACTTGGCCCAAGTAACAAAATAAAAAGTATATTCATATCTTAAATGATTGTAAATTAGAGCAGTAGAAATGCATTTCTTCACTCTCTGAGTAATCCTCTATAATACCTCCAGCCCTCCTTGCTTCAGCAAAGATAAATGAGGTAAATTATGCTGGCTTGGTTGTAATTGCATCTATCCATCCTGTGACCCCAAGAGTACCATTTCTTCACTGCACTACAGTCACCATCTTACAGTTATTTTATCTTCTGAATTCTGCAAGTTTTTTAGAACACATAGTCCAAATTCTGCTGTATTCTTCAGTTTACTTATAGACAAGTCCCATTGACTTCCATGTGCCAATTCTTAATATATTGTAGTGTCGATATTTCAGTACTTCTACTTGTACAAACAATTTGTTGAGCTGAAACATAGTCAAATTCCATTTTATTAAAAAATAATGAATAAATGTCTGAGGAATACACCACTTTCACAGAACTATTTCATTCTTTCTTCATAACATAAGCAAAACTGGCAATCTATTTTTATAGCCCTCCATAGTTATTTATGGCTGTGATCTATCATAATATATCACTATACCTATCATCCCCTACTTAGCACTATTTTATAGATTCTCATTCATTTTTCCTTCACAGTAAAGGCACAGCTGGATCACTGGTTTATCTGTCGCTGTACTAAAGAGTGAAGTAAAGGAGACTTAACAGCTCCAAAGATTTATGCTAAGAGAGAGGGTATTTTTTTTTCATCTGGAAGTCATTAAAATAAATGCAGGCACAGTCAATAGTGGATATAAGTGATGGTTGCTCAACGACCTATGAAAACAGAATATGGTATTTTCAGTCCAGTTCCCAGTAGAAGTATTCATATTATTTATGCTGGTGTTTCCCAATTGTTTGAAAGCTACCTACCCACCAACTGGGTAATATTTGGGTTTTTGACTCTAAAGTTTTGTTCCCAATTATTAAATTCATATGCATACAAGTAGGAGTAAAAAATGCCTAAACTGATTAACAGATGGCTGAACACCCTTGGGAATATATTTTAGACTCAAAAGGCTTATTGCTGACTCCATAATCTCCTACCCAGCTGCCTCTGAGATGAATCCGTTGAAAGCTGTTGGCATTGCATTTAGTGATCGTGTGGGTGGATCCTACAGTCACAATAAGTCCCGTACCTTTGTTCACTCGCATAGGCTTTTTCTTTAGATTTCTTCTAAAGCTCAAATGTTTTTGTGGGTTCTTGTCATTATTTTCTTAACAAACTAGCTATACATACAAACAGAACAAAGTCAAATGTTATATTTTGTACTTCTTAAATGTAAATGCAATTTGTTATGCATGTAAGTGATTACCGATTCTGAGGTTAATTACATATGTGGTCCTCATTTTAAAAAGCCTTTCAGCCAGTTTTAGTTGTAATAATTCTTTGAATCAAAAGGATACATCAAATTAAATATTTTATATATAATAATGTTAGGTGATTCTTAGGGGGATATAGTTCATTGGACCAACTGTATCATTGGGATAGAATTAGACAAGCTTTCAAATGCACAACATTCCTTGCCAGGTTATTTTCTAAACACACTTTAGATTTCCAGTCATCTCAAGTCCAATATAACTCAGTGGTTTCTGTGTTTAAATAATAAACAGTAATTTAGCCTTGCTTGTTCAGAAGCTTTGTGCTCAGAAAGGGGCAGTTTTGCTCAGTCGTCCAGCTTCAAAAGGAAAGTCAAGTGGGTGCTTCCACTTGACTTCATCAGTTGGTCCTACCCATTATTTAGAGGGTTGAAGAGGTGGGTTTGAACCTCTGCAGGTAGAGGAGGGAAGCAAATCTTGGTCTCTCACTGTTTGGGGATCTGTTCTAACTCGTATGCTGTTCCATGAAGAGGGAGGGGCAGAGGAAGATTGTACTGCAATTATCACATCTTTTAGCAGTTGTTCTTTTAGTTTAAAAAGGAGGCCCGGTTGCTCTGAAAGCAAGGAGGTTGGCGTCTGCTTTCCAGGAATGTAACTGGGAGGAGGAGGCCTGAAGCAACATCCCTGAGTGCACCTTTGTGTGGAAGGAGGGTGTAACATGGATCATAACCCCTATTCCTTTAAACAGAGAAAGGGACAGCTAACTGGAGCAAGCAGTGAGAGGTAGATAGCCAGAAGGAAAAGGTGAGGAGTAGCTCCCAAAACTGCCTCAAAACATCAGTCTACTTACCTGGATCAAGCTGACAAAAGTGAGAGGCAATAAGGGTTGAGATCTAGGCAGTAAGTTAAAGAGCAGCTGTAGCAGAGTTAAGCAGGTTGCTTTTCTTTAAATTTTGTTTTAGCATATGATGATGGGATGATCACAAAGCAAGGAAAAACATTCGTATTTTTATGCCCAAATTTGGAAGCCAGCTGATCACCTCAGGTGTAGTATTGTACAAATGCAATAGAGTTCCGTTAAATGCATGGAGACGGCATTTAGAAGTGATGTGATTCAAAGTTTGAAAAGGGGTGCCACAGTCACAGTTTAGAGAGCTAATCCAGCCCCACTCAAGGAACAGAAATCTACATCTGACATGTCCTGTTCTGATTTGGTTTAGAGAAGCCCAAAGATATCTAGCGAGATCAAAGCCAGGTCTAAAGGTAGAATTTAAAATGATAATTTCTGTATTGAGGAGTGAAGTGAGCCACTCTTGCATCCAGGCGTCTTGGATGTTAAATGAGTCTTGCTCAAGTTGAATTGCTGTTCTGCAAGTGGGATGTCTAGATTTTAATCTTGGATGTGGTGGGTTTAAGAGAACTTCTTGTATAGGCAACTGTGGGCTATTTTTTTTAGTCCATAATTTAGTTAAAGCATTTTTCTTCTTAATGGGGAAGGATTTATGTTACTACGAAAAGGGAGACATTGAAGAGGGATGATTCCTGTAATGATTCACAGGTTACTGATAATTGGGTATATAAGTAACCTCTGCTACTGAGAGTAGGGCCAAGCAGCAGAACTAAGGAACTGCAAGACATTGTAGAAGGCAGCTTATAAAGAAGCTGTCTTACCTGCAAGGCAGTGCAGAGGCTTCCTGATTAGGAGAAGCAGGTTGTATGGCTGGGAGCCTGCTTATTGATAGGCAGGCTGCTGAGAGACAAGCCTGCAGACTGATTAATGGAAAACTCCTGTGTTTGACTCTGAGAATCAGGGATCAGGTGACTGGAGGGGAGTGGAGTTAATAGGTATATAGGCTTGACTCTAGGGCTAGGGGCTTATTCTGGCTTTGAGTGTTGAGGGGCAAAGAGCTCCTTGGAAAGTAGGATGAACTAATTATTCACAGAGAGATAAGGTGCCAGAGGGAGCTAGTAGATTCATAGATTCATAGATGTTAGGGTTGGAAGGGACCTCAATAGATCATCAAGTCCGGCCCCCTGCATAGGCAGGAAAGAGGGCTGGGTCTAGATGACCCCAGCTAAATGCCTCTCTCTCCTCTTGAAGACCCCCAGGGTAGGGGAGAGCACCACCTCCCTTGGGAGCCCATTCCAGACTTTGGCCACTCTAACTGTGAAGAAGTTCTTCCTAATGTCTAGTCTAAATCTGCTCTCTGCTAGCTCATGGCCATTATTTCTTGTAACCCCCCAGGGGCGCCTTGGTGAGTAAAGCCTCACCAATTCCCTTCTGTGCCCCCATGATGAACTTATAGGCAGTCACAAGGTCGCCTCTCAACCTTCTCTTGCGGAGACGGAAGAGGTCCAGGTGCCCTAGTCTCTCCTCATAGGGCTTGGCCTGCAAGCCCTTAACCATACGAGTGGCCCTTCTCTGCACCCTCTCCAGGTTATCCCCATCCCTCTTGAAGTGCGGCGCTCAAAATTGCACGCAGTATTCCAACTGCGGTCTGACCAGTGCCCAATAGAGGGGAAGTATCACCTCCTTCGTTCTGTTCATCATGCATCTGCTGATGCACGATAAAGTTCCATTACCTTTTCTGATGGCTTCGTCACACTGCCGACTCATGTTCATCTTGGAGTCCACTAGGACTCCAAGATCCCTTTCTGCTTCCATGCCTCCAAGCAGGTCATTTCCTAGGCAGTAGGTGTGTTGGACATTTTTCCTCCCTAGGTGCAGCACTTTGCATTTCTCCTTGTTGAACTGCATTCTGTTGTTTTCTGCCCATATGTCCAACCTGTCCAGGTCTGGTTGTAGTTGTTCCCTGCCCTCCGGTGTGTCCACTTCTCCCCACAGTTTTGTGTCATCCGCAAACCTGGACAGAGTACATTTCACTCCCTCATCCAAGTTGCTGATGAATCCAAGTCACAGCCTCTTAACTTGTTCACCAGTATGGGGTGGGATACCGTATCGAAGGCCTTCCTGAAGTCTAAGTAAACGACGTCAACCCCTACTTCTGCGTCCAGGTGTTTTGTAACCTGGTCATAAAAAGAGACTAGATTAGTCAGGCATGATCTACCTGCTACGAACCCGTGCTGGTTTCCCCTCAGCATAATTTTTCTTGCCGGGCTCTCACAAATGTGAGCCTTGATAATTTTTTCAAAGACTTTTGGAGGCGAGACTGACTGGACTATAGTTGCCTGGGTCCTCCTTCCTCCCCCTCTTGAAAATGGGGACCACATTGGCCCTTTTCCAGTCCTCTGGGACCTGGCCCGTGTGCCATGAGTGTTCAAATATTCCCCCCAGTGGCTGTGCAATGACGTCAGCCAGTGCCTTCAGTACCCTCGGTACTGAAGGGTTCAGAGAAGATCGTCTTTATGGATGATGCACCTAACAGGGTTAGTTATTTTTCGTTAAGTGTTTATGCTGACTCTCTTATCCCTATGAGGCATAGGTATAGCTATAGAGGAAGTAGAAGGCCATGAAGGGGTGCCCTGGGTAAGGTGCTGTTGGTTATTTAAGTTTACAGGGCTGGTAGGTCTGCACAGCCATGAAAGGTACTATTAAGGCACTGGGCAGTTCTAGTTAGTGGGCTTAAGGCCTGGCTTGATGGATCGAGGCAGGACTAGGGAATTTGGTAGATCTAGAAATTAGGTGAATGAGGTGTCTGAGACTAGTCAGAAAGAGCAATGCCTTACTCAAGGCAGATATTGACCCAGACTAGGGCAGCCCAATGATAAGCAGGAAAGAGCGAAATACCCAAAGTTCACTCTGGTACTCAGAGCAGGTGGGGCATGATTAATGTAGCCACTAGAGAGTGCCACAGCCATCCTCAGGGGTGGATCTAGCCACAATCTGGCACAAGAGCAGCCATTGTGATAATCATCTGTTGATTGTGATACAACGTTCAGCATGTCTAGAGTCAGTGGTACCCTGGATGCCATGCCATGTGGCTGTCCTGTGCATGGAGCTGTGCTTACTTCAGGACAAGGTTTGAAGCTGTAGATTCCAAGTTGATGGTAACACATGTGCCCAGGACCGCAATATATTGAGCTGGGTCTAAGCAGCCCCAACTGGCAGGGGGCGAGGGATCAGCTTGCCAGCCCAGAGCTGCTCTGATCCAGATTAACATTTTGTGGAGGGGCTGGCTAGTTGGCAGGCAGCCCCTACAGTGAAGAAACCTTTTGCATCAGCTAGCCCCATCAGCGTCTACATATGCATTGTGGTGCACTAAATAACACTGCCATAAAATAGTAATTGTGTTTGCAAGTACTATCCTGGGGCAGTGTTTATTTGTTTGCTGTAGCCTAATAGGGCTATATATGTAGATGCTGAGACTTTACTGAAGAGCTAATTAGGCAACTGTAGTAAATGTCTCATATAGATATGTCCAGTGGGTGTATCTACACACGTGATTTTCTGTGGAGTAAACTTATTAGCTCCACAATAAAACATCACAGTCTACACATGTGCTTGTATTAGAGCATAATAATCTAATTAATACTGCTGTACTATCTTACAGATGAGTACTTTACTGCACCAAAATGCACATGTAGACAGTGACTGGGGACATAAATTGAACCTGGTTAGCCCAGCCAGTTGGGGGCTTGCTCCACTTGTGAACCCGGACAGCAGCAATTCAAGCCAATGTAGACGTTGGGCTCAGGAGCAATTCAATCCAGTGTGAACTGCTCCAGAGTTTTTTGCATCACATTCATAGCATGTGTATATGCACCCAGTGAATTGAATCTTAGAGTGTTTACTAGGTACTTTTTTCTGTTACCATTGTTCTTGCAGGGTAGTCCTACTGAAACCAAAGGACAAAAACACAAGTGCTATTTGAAAGACAAATATTTAGGAAATAGAGTTTGGGCCCTTACTGATTCAGGCTAATGCAAGTTTGTTTGTTTGGTTGGTTGTTCCTTTCCTTTCCTTTCCTGACTAAATACTTAATAAGAATACTATATCCTGGAGTCATTACAATGTTATCTATGGAAAGGTGAGCTGGTATACTGGAACAAGCTATGTAAAGAAGAAAACTACACATTGACTACACAGGCTGACTTCTGTGTGTGGTGCATCATCTGTTCTGTAGAACCTCAGTGTAAAATTTGGCACAAAAAATTGAGGTGAATATGTTATGCCAGCACCTGATTTCCAATTTCAGGAGAGCTTGGAAAGGAACAAGAAAATATCTACTATGAATAATATTGTCCCTACAAAGCAGACGTATCCATTGAAGCAATGAGTGACTTTGATGGCTGAATGAGCAGCAGGAAATACAGCAGATGTTCCACTCAACTACAGGATCCCAGAGAAGGTCATGGGATTACAATTTTCTGGGGAAATTGAAAATACTGATTTTTTTCTGCCATCTTCTGTTCTGGCTTTGCAGCCAAGTAAGACATGTTTGTTTCATTCTGTTCATTTCTCATCTATTTACAAATCTTGTTTTTTAGCCATACACTGTATAATTGATATAAAAGTATTTGTATTAAGCTTCAGAAGTGGCAATAAGGTACAGATTGCTGGCCAAGACTAAGATAGCAATATGTTCTTAGTCCAATAAACACATTCATTACTCTGCTGTAAAACAGCGAGTAATTTTATAGTGTCTCAAATTATTTTTGTGGTAAAATGTTGGAACATAATATAAGCCAGAAGTTATCTGATATTTTTACTTTCACAATTACATTTGACACCACCAGTAGTAAAATAAATAGGCCCAGTAACGAATATTTATGAACAAGGATTCTTTTAATTTTTGGCTAACTTGACTTAAAATGACAGTTTTATGCATTTTTATTGCACTTCTAACCAAGAATTTCAAAACTGTTGAATATACTAATGAAATAAGCTTTCTAACATTCCGTTGTTCTGGCTCTCATTTCCCCAGATTTAGAGGTGAAGAAAGTCAGACACAAATTCTAAGATTACCATTTCAAACTTGTTTGAATTAAATTTGCTAATAAAAGCCATATTTAGGCACCTAACTTGGCCCACTTCAGAGTGGGGCTGAACACTTCTGAATTACCACTGATTTGAACAATAATTGTCTATACTCAGCACTCTTGAAAACAGAGTTTTTACATGACTAAGGATGAATCTAGGTGCTTAAATGTTAGGAACACAAAGTATCAGGATTTTGGAATAGCATTTTGACTGCTTGACTTGCATTCTTAACTATCAAATAGACAGTCTGCCTATGTAACTTGACACCCTGCCTTTAAAATTGTTGTGGTCACTTCTTCATTAAGAAATAGTGGCACTAGAATTGGATTAATATACAAATGAAGGCATTTTTAATTGGCTTTCTTTTCTCGGATGACTCCCTATGAAGCATTCTTTAAAAAAAATCAGCCTTTCCTACATATGTTGTAGACTATTAAGTCTAGTGACCTATAGTACTAGATGTTCTTTATATCAAACCTCTGAGGGTCAATGATAATTGTATTTAACCATGATCTTTTACTGATAGCTGCCTATACAATACAAATTTTTACAGAACTGAATATTTTCACATATTGCATAGTTTTGACTGTCTACCTCTTATTACCCTCCAAAAGAACCATAAACATAACACTTATCCATGGGGTTGATCTATAATTGGGGCCCTAAAGCAGTGACTCTCAACCACACTGAGCTTCTGCAAGATCCTTTTAAGGGTGCCACAGGGTGCCAGGCAATATTAGCACTAACATGACTTGCAAAACAACTCAGAGGGCGCATCCGCACGTGCGCTTGCAGCAGCTCAGATAGAAGCGGTGCAAATTTGAGCTGGGGCTTTTTGCCCCAGTGCACGTGCTTGAACATGCACTTCGTTGAGGAGCAAATTGTGTCACCTGGGGCAAAATAACTCTGCCTGGCTACTCCTGGATCTGCAGCCAGGGGGAGCTAGAGCCCAGGGCCATCACCTGCACTGTCCCCAGAAATATAAAAAGCTGTCCTGGCAAATAGCTCAGGGCTACTAGCTCTCTGGAGCTTCTGGGGCCCAGCCAATTGGTACCTGAGGACAATACCCCTTGTGCCATCTGGACTACTGAACCAGCTCTGAAAGCTCCCTGCACCCTCTACTCACTGCAGCAGTCTGGCAGTGGGGGCTGCTGCCTGGCTGTGACCTGCTGTGCACCTGCCAGGCCAGGATGAGGCACCTTCCCCTCTAGGCCAGCTACCAGTAGGTTGTGGCTGCAGGGTTGGCCTCTGTGTGGCACTGCTGCCATGTGTGCCCCGTGCCTGGCCACCTGGGCAACTATCGCCCAGAAGATGTTCTGGGTGTGGTGGCCTGCTTTGTACTGTCAAACCATGTCCTCTTGGCCCCATTTGGCCAGAAGGTCAGCCACAGCCATCTGGGTGCCAGGTGCCAGCTCTGAGCAGGCAGGGTCCTAACACTGGCCTCCCTAGCAGGAATTCTGGTGTCCCTATTGGAAAACTGAAAAATCCCTGATAAAAAAAATCCCCAAGTCACTCTGTAAAATACCCTAAAACCCATGTTCCTCCACAAGTAATACAAAATACCACTGCAGAGAGCGAGAGAGCGAGAGATAGAGAGACAGCGATCAGTTGGGCAATGTTTTATTGATATATTTACAGTGCTAAAGCACTGGCTGTTGGGGGGCTACAACTACACAGGGGTTATGGCTCCCCAACAGGGGCCAAATGGCCCCTGAAGGTGCTACCACCCCCTTACAAGGCCCACATGCCCCAACCCAGGCCCCCAATTGCTGCCCCATCTGGCCCCATCCCCCCACCAGCTGCT